GGGGGGGGGGGGGGGGGGGGGGGGGGAAGCTGCGGATGAATGTGGGAGACGGTCGGACAGTCTTGTGTGTGTGTGTGTGTTTTTTTTTTCTGGCCCACAGTAGAAGGATGTTGTGCAGGAGATAAGAGAGATTGATCACTGGTTTGTTGCAGCAGCATGTGCATCTCTTTAAACAAACAGCTTTCATATGAGTGTGTGTGCGTGTGCGTGTGTGTGTGGGGGGGGGGGGGTTGTCTGATGCATGAGAACATTTGTGCCACAGGGTCTAAAATGATTCACGCTGAGTCCAGGAGTAAAACTCAAACTCACTGACCTTTTGGGTGGTAGCAGGGGTAAAATGCCACAGGCAGTAATTTTCTATATTTTCTCTTTAGCTCACTGCCTTCCCCTCCTCTCCAGTTTTGTGTTTTTAATACCTCGTTTTCTATGATGTGCTTGAAAAGAGCATTTCCTCGCCTGAGCTGGAGATAAATTTAGAGCCTGCCGGTGCAGGAGGAGGAGATGGGTTTTCCCGAACGAAGAGATTCCTCTGAGCGTTTCTCATCTGCCTGATTCTCCAAAGTCTTGCTGTATTGATCAGCTGCAGCTGTATTTCCTCCAGTTTATTTACTCCAGTGTGGTTCGATTGCTCTTTAAGCTCACATTTGCAGTGGGAAGAACACACGGGGGAGAGAGAGAGAGAGGTAACTGGTGCCCCGTGAAATTTAGCTTCTGCTGGTGGTTGGCTAGTCAGTTATGAGCCTGTTCTGTTCCACAACAATGCATCAATGCAAGGGAACATTTGTAGTTGTGTTGCCTCAGTCACAGTTTTGTCCACGTTATGGTCACCTTCTAAACCAAATCCCCAAATTGATGGAGAGATGGAGCAAAGACCCCATATATAGCTGCAGTGTTGTAGAAATATTGCAAAAATAACAGCAGTAATAGGCTTTCAACCAATTATGAGCCATAGGGTTGGGCAAAATTATATTGTTGGCAATTAATTGTCATGAAAAACTGTCACCATCCTGTTTCAAATTTAATACATTGTTAACTGTTTTAATTAGACAAAAGTATTTAGTTATGTACTGTATTTGAACTGGCAGTGTAATTTAGAAAAATGCACAGGGGGCACCATCTAAAACTTTACCCAGAGCAACAAATCGGCTAGGACCAGCCCTGGCTGTGGCCGCTATCTTGAAAGGATTCGACTCCAGTAGTCGCACATCCAGCTGTGGATAAAATCCCTCCACTTAGATTGACAGACACACGAACTCACGCAGACACAGTTACACTATCGCCCGCCTTTCAGGGTAATAAAAGAAGAAGCTCGCGCGATGACCACGGCCTTGTTTGTGTAAATGTTATGACAGCACAGAGCCAGTAGCTGGGACTCTTGTCAGAAAGCCTTTCTCTCGCTGGACATGATCTGCCTCTCTGCTGGTGTGGAGCTGAGGGTTAAAAGCTGTTCTTGTTAGTTTAACTGGAGTTCATGACCCGTAAGAGCCACAGGGATGACCGACCTCTGATACAGAGATCATTATACTCAGAGGTCAATATTTTGTAACAATCAGAATTTTGATGATTTCCAATTATTTTTTTACTAGAAGCTTTTAAAAATTTCTTATCATACACATGAAACATTATATTGTTTTTTTAATAAATTAAGCTCAAGCACTGACAGGAACGCTTTCTCATCATTTCCATTTTTTAAAAGTTGACAAATGCTTTTAAACCCTTCTTTTTCACATTTAAATCATTCAGTTGGGGTCTATTTGCACTGTATGTTTTGTACTGTTCACTTATCTTACCATATCTAAGTTATTGTGTGGAAGTTTGGGGCAACACGTACAGAACTTCACTTCAACCATTATGCACATTACAGAAAAGAGCCATTCGTTCAGTTCACAAGGCAGATTATACCCACACTTTATTTATAGATTCTTACTTACTGAAATTCACTGATTTGGTAGAGTTTCAAACTGCACAATTTATGTATAAAGTCAGAAACAAAATATAACCAGAAAATATTCAAAACTTATTTTCTGATAGAGTGGGTGGATATGATTATAGAGAAAACCTCAACTTTAGAACTTTGAAGGCTAAAACAGCAAGGGAAAAAAATGTGCATTTCTGTCGTTGGTGTGAAGATCTGGAATAAACTCGCTAAAAAGCTGAAGCAAAGTACAAGCATGAGGTATTTTAAGAAAGAACTCAAAATGGTTATTATTCAAAAGTATAAGGATGAATAAAGGGGATGAACCTGGCTGGGTAGTACAGTCTTGTGGATGATCTCAACAATTGGGTACAGGTTTGTACATGTGTGTGTAACTATATATAGATGTGTAAAGTGGTGTGTATTATTTAGATTAATGTGCAGATAGATGAATATGTATATATAGGTGTGTATGTATTACTTTCATCTGGTTTAGGAAATATTATTATTATTATTTCATTTTTTTGTTAAGAAGGATACTGGAAATTAGAAGACAATGCGATGAATTAGAAATGGAAAAGGGGTATGATTATATAAGTTATACTTCATCATACTCCTTTTCAGACTCATAATCATTGAATAAGTGGTGTGTTTTCATGTAAATGATTATGTACATCATAGTAAGGAATGGTGTTTTATTTTTATTATTATTTGTTTTGTTTGTTTTTGTGGCACTTGTCGGTGAAATGTTTGTCTGAAATAAATTATCATCATCATCATCATCATCATTATTTAAAGTGGAACTGTAATTCTTTGGTCTAAATTCCTCCGTATTGTAACTCCACAAGCCCCTCTTTCACCCCTTTTCTGAGGTGTGTCTCAGATCAACTCGTTTTGAGGCGGTCTCTTTAAACCTTCACGCCCCCCCATCCCCTCCAGCTACCAGAGCGATGCAGTTTGATAGAGGGCTTTACTGCTATATAGCTGCGCAGAGACATTTTATTTACAAATTAATTAAAAGATGTTAACAAGAAGACTTGTCCATCCAGCCTTACATGGTCAAAATAGGACCAAACACAATATAAACATATCAACAAAGAAACTAAATGCAACTTTTCTTCACTCCTAGAGACTCGAAGTGCACAACAAAATGCATTCAACAGGAAAAAAGTGGATTTTGCGTGATATGTTCCCTTTAATGCTACATTCAAATAGTTACTTTTCTCTTCGTCTGTGCACCCGAGGAGCAAGCTGATGGCAGAAAACGCCGTGCTTACCTTGCATTTATCTCCTCAGTATTTGTTGACAGAATCCCATCTGTAATTCCACCATGTCACCGGTTCCCCCACCCTCCACCTCTCCTGATGAATCAGCCGACGCTGCCGACGGCATTAGAGATTCAGCTCAGGCGCGCGGTGGATCACACGCACGCAGAGGTGTCCCGGTGCCACGATGGACGGCTTAATCAGTGTAAGCCCCAATTAGCTTCTCACTGAGAGAGAACCGCATTTGAGTCCCCCCTGCAGAAATCCATGTGGGAAGATTTGGGATCTCGGTGTTACGGGGAACCCCTGTTTGATCGGATCTGTGCAGCCCTGGGAATTTATAGGGCACTTACATTTTGAAAGTTTAATACGAAACGACTTCACATGTTGGATATCCAGGAATTTCACAAAAACTGGAGATGAGGGGAATTCCTGTCTTTCAGGACAAAACGTTTAAATGTCATAATCTGGTTTGTTGGATTACGCTTTAATCCAGTTTAAGAACAGGCTCACAGCCAAGCGACATGAGGAGGAGAAAAAAAAAACAAAGTTGCCTCATGGTTGACATCTGCCTCGGTTTTCTTGCCTGGTAAATATTATTACAGACTGCGAAGGAGTTAACGAAAGCCTCTCTTGGCTGGCTGGGCAGCTTGTGTTTGCCAAAAAAAAAAGCTTCTTTTTTTCTTCTTCTTCTGATGCAGTAAAGCAAAGTGTTGAGATGTTACAATGCAAACAGTTGCCACATTGAGGGAGGGGAAAAAGCAAATACAGTTGTGGGGGGTGGGTGGATGAAAAGGTGACAATCAGCATAATTGTGCTAAAAAATTGGAAAACTTCTGGTTCGGTCTGTTCTGCCTCGATCTCCCTGCAATGCCTTTTCTCATGGGTGACAGCAAATTATTATATCATGTTTTGGGGGGGTGGGGGTGGAAACTTGTTTGCCAACATTGTTGTGTAATAGAAATCATAGCAAATAACTATTTTATCCTCAGAGGACAAAAAAAAGATGAGAAGAGCACGTTAGCTCAGATGGAAAACACTTATTTTTTATTAAGTGACACATCCGACCCTGGTGAGTCTT